ATCCCCCGGCCCTACGTACGCCCAGCGCGGCCCAGCTGCGCCACAGCAGAGCCCAGAGCCAACACCACTACCGTGACCCGCGTTCACCCTTGCCACCACCGAGCCCGGCCCCCTGTGCCCCCTTACCTCTGTCCCCTCTGCATCCGGAGAGCCATGCCTCGCAGTGTGGGCCCCAGGCGATGCCAGCAGCTCAGTCAGCCAGCCCGGGTCAGCATGGGGATCGAGAACCCTCAAGGACCCCTCAGCCTGGCCTGGCCCACCGGGGCCCTGCAGGCTCACTGGGCAGTTGCCCGTTGGTGCCCAGGCTGAGCTGGCCTCGGTGGCCAGAGCTGGTGGAGCCAGATCTGGTGGGGTGGCCTCAGTGAGGAGCTCAGGCTCAGGGTCAGCTGGGTCGTGGCCAGGCTCTGTCACACAGAGTGGGGAGCATGGCACGACAGCATCCTGCTCTGCCTCCCCCTCCTTCTCCTCCTCTGCTGAGCCCTCGGCCTCTTGCTGGACCACGGGACCCCCCGGGCATGGGGCCCCCTCTGTTCCCCGGCTGCTGGCCACCGCAGAGCAAGACCCTTCGGACCCGCTGTCCCCCTGGGAATGTGGGGGGCTGGGGGATGCATTCTCCCCATCCGACTCACCCTCGTCGGACAGCCCTGAGTCAGCTGCCTCCCGGATGGGGGACCGGGGAGGGGATGCCAGCCGCCGTGCCCCCTGCGAGGGGAACCTCCACTCAAAGGACTGGGAGAAGCTCCAGCCAGGCTCACTACCCAGGGACAGGTCAGACAACAGGTCCTCGTCATGGGGTAGGGCACTCAGTGAGCCCCCCAGCACTCCCATGCCCTGCCCTGTATTCGGGGGCTGCAACACCCCCTCTGAAGAGCGCCGGAGCCCCGAGTCCCTGGAAGCAGGGTGGGGACTGAAATCAGGACCTTCAGGGGACTGTGGGGACACTGGGGAGTCATCAGGTCCCTCTGGAGAGCCAGGGGGGCGAGACGCTTTGGGAGAGGGCTCAGGGGGTGGGCTGGGGGAGCTCGAGTACTCAGCAGCAGCCTCGGGAGAGCCGGGGGGACAGGTAACTCTGGTAGGCAGTTCAGGAATGCTGGGGGGACTGGAGGTGTCGGGGGATCCCTCGCCAGGAGTGTGGGGGGAACCAGGGGAGCAGGAGATGCTGAGCCGGGGTTTGACTGCAGAGGAGGAGGAGGGAGCGCCCGGGGCCTGGACGGAGGTGACTGACACCTCGGCTGGAGAGGATTCAGGAGAGCCAGGGGCTGGGAGCTCTGGGGAGACATCAGGAGAGCCGGGGGCTGAGGTGGAAGGCTCAGCAGGCTGGAAAGGAGCTCCTGGGGCCAGGCAGGCAGGGGGCCGTGGAGAGCCAGGGGGTCCAAGGGCACCTGGCTGAAGAGAGGAGAGCTGTGGGAAGAGCCGGAGGAATCACATCACTCGAGAGAACCTCCCAGGTGTCACCCATCCCTGATCCCAGCCCCCCCCTCTCTGGTGAGGGTTCCCCCTGCCAGCATCTCCTCCCTAAAACTGAG